ATATTAATAAAAAATACTGCTTGAATCTAGCGTCACGTGTCTTCAGAAATGTTGTAAAGGCCTGTGATGCCATCCCATCAGCCGTTTCTGACCTCAGTTAAACTCATGTGCCATGTCAGCCACCCAGCCACGCAGGATTTTCTCTCTTTCTCTGGAGCCGCTGCCACCCTCCTGTCGCCTCCACTGATCCATGCCAGCTTCAAGCTTTTGTTGTTCTGCCTGCCTCCCTTGGTACTGGGGGCAAGATTTACAGTGGAAAAATATAGCATTTTTTTTCCCCCATGTTGAGCTGGTGAGTCTGGAATGTGTGTTTGGGCAAGATTTTGCGAGGAGTGTGAAAAAACAACAGAGCTGTAAACACCGAGGGTAGACCCAGACTGGCTTCTTTGTTCCAGATGTGGAGCAGGCCTGGAGATGTACCTCTATACACTCCCACTGCCTGTCCATCAGCTGGGCTCTCACTGTATCCATGCGGACAGGTTAGTGCCTGCTGACACAGTGGCATTTTCATGGAGAGATAAGTGCGTGCACTGGTCACGGTGTGCGCCCACAGTCAGAATAATACCAACTGGGTATTTGGAGCCGCCACTAAACCAGAGAAGAAGGCTGGAAGAAAGAAAAAAAAATCAGCAATGCATAATTTACCCATATGCCAAATGCAAATGAAGCCATTTAAATCAGATGCCCCCGTGTGCCATCAAGCTCAGGCTGCACTAGAATGGTTCATCCTGCATATTGCGGCTAACGGTTTCCTGAAGGATTTTTATTTATATCTTTTTCTTTTCTTTATTTTTTGTACAGACTTGCCTAGACATCTGTATTTAACCAGTCAGTTTTAAGTTTAGGTTTAACCGTGAGCGGCAGTGGGCGATGCTGCTGTCATCTGCTGTCTGGCAACAATTATGCCAATGATGAATTTCGTGCTCAAGATTGGAAAACCAGGCACATTCCGGCATTTCCCACGCAACAATATTCACTTTGAGTCACTTTAGCTTTTAGATTTAATTGTACGTGTGTCTTTTTCCTCTGAGCTCTTCAGGCTATCTACCCATTTTCTCTATGTCCTGTGTCCCCTTTTCTCGTTTCGTCTTTATTTTGGTGCCGAATTTTGACAAATAGCTCAATAAATGGGTCGGATTAAAATCTAAAAAACTATTTAAATTTTGTAATTGCACAAAAATGCGTCATAAGAACTATAACTGCTATAATAATGTATATTTGGACCTTGGGCTATTTTAGTCTGAATATTTCGCAAAGAATTCATCAAGAAAAAGATCGTTTCTCCCTGCATTTTAATTATTTGAAGATGCCGAATAGTCATATTAGCATTTTTCTTTTTCCATTTTATTGATTGCTAGCACACTGGCATATTTAATTATTTATTTATTTATTGGCTCCAAAACTTTTTTTAGTAAAAAAAAAAAAAGTGAAAACAGAATAGAATTAATTTAATTAAATTGCAAATAATAATAGCTAGACTGCAGACACGAACTTTTTCACAAAACGACCTTATTAAACAAAACTTATTGAAAATTATATATTTACGAACGAAAACATGTTGAATTTAAGGAGGAAAGAAATATTTGTATTTGAATTTAAAACAAAAAAACTTAGTTGTAAGTTTTATTATTCGAAAATGAGGAGATTATTTAAAAAAAGTATCATGAACTTGAAGTGGTGAGTGGTGAGCTGTTCTGTTGTGAAATTATAAATAACATTTAAATTAATGAGCGGTGGGGGAAACATGAAACCGCAGTCCGTCTTCTCTGTGGTTCGACTGGCAAAAACAAATTTCATGAGGAAATTGCGTGATGAAAAAAATAATCCAATGAGCAGGTGTTTTATTTTTAGTCAGAGGAACCAGTGAGTACACATTAGATCTGTGTGTACCCGGCACTGGAATGATGCTGATCATGTGACACAGCTGAACTCTGTGGGCCCTCACAGGCTGCCAGCAAAGGCACGGCACTTAAGGAATGAGGATCCGGCCGGTGCAGATATGAGTGTTTCTGTGTGATGACTTCGCCTGGAGGTGAGATTAAGGCTGTTCATCCTCAGCTCCACTTCTCTCTTCTCTACTTCTTTCGTTATTTTCTTTTTTCCTGGGGCAAAGAACAGTCAGAAAAATGTCAGGCCTATTGTCTGCACAAATGAAACACAGCCGCCTCGTTCGGACACATTCTTATTTTTTATTTTTTTTATTTTTTACCGGCAAACTAGGAAGCTTTCTTCAATCTTAACACCTAAAATACGAAAGCATGCACATATGCGACATAGATATTCCTCAATCTCACAAAATAATTTAAGAAAATCCTGGGATGTTGTTTCTGATCCATTCCTAGTTGGATAATTGTGTCAAAGCACGCCTCGGCTTCAGAGCCATCAGGCTGTGCCGCTTATTAAATTGGACATGTGGGTCTTTATTCGGGTCTATTATGTGCTGAGTCGAGCCTGTGATAATAAATCCTTGCATCCACTTCTCGGGGTGTGCGGGGGTCATGGACTGTCATTCTGTATCTGGGCCTCGGCTCAGCTCCAGCAGCACAGGGTTACTTGTAGAACAAGACGTGCCACAGTGGGGAAGATCACAGTGGCGGCAGTTGCCTGGGAGTGTGTGTTTTTTCTGGTGTGTACACAAAGAACACTGTCACTCTGCATTAGAGATGGACAAACTCGATCGGTTTGCGTGCTTGTGTGTGTTTAAGAGAGAGAGGGAGAGAGACACACCTCTGCAGATTTGACGCTCATGCGCATTGTGCAGCACAGTAAGACGCCAGTAAGTCTGGGCTGCATTCAGGAGTGTGACTGTTTCTAACATCATCCCTGTGCGTGTATTAATAGAGCAACGTCCATCCCTGCCCTATGACTGCAGGGCCCGCCTTTGTTCTTTACCGGTAATACAGGCATAATTACAAACCTTAAAGAGCCTCCTCACCTTGCTTCCTCCCTTCCCTTAGCTCTGACACACATCCAGGAAGTGCCTAAGACCAGAGCTGTGTCTGTATACAGGCCATGCCTTCAAAGAATTAAACTGAGGCCGTGGGTTGTGCGGTGCGCAATGGTGTTTTAAGCCGTGAAAGCAACACCTGTTCCAAAAGTCACATCAGTTCCCTCCAACTCCAATCTCCACGCTGCAGTAACACAATAATGTTGCAGTAAAACGCCAATGGACGTAATACCTCTAATTTCCCAGAGACCATTTCCATTTACAACTCTTATGTGTGAAGCCAGTGTCGCCCACAATATGAAACTGGCCTCACTGCCGATTTTTTTCTTCTTTTTTTATTGTGACTGAAATTTGACTGTGATAATAATTTGTGGCTTTGTTCTGGCTGGCTGCATGGCTGAGGCCTGTGGGGAGATTTGGGAAGCAGTCCAGCCCCCAGCAGGCCCTTTAATGCCGCTGGATTCCCAGTAGTTTCAGGCAGGGTAGGGACATGACCAAAATGACGGGGTTGGACAGCAGCGCAGCACCACACTCAACCCACCAAACACTCTGTTTATAATTTCGCTGCAGCTTATATGTGATTTATCTGAGATCTGTATCAAACTGTGCTGTAAAACGTGGTTTTATTGAAAGCAAAAACCTCGGTAGCCGCAGTAGCTTTCTTGTAGTAGTCGATTGAGACTGCAGCTCCAGACTGAAATGGGCATGCCTGAAAATATAGAAACAGTTATTACTACTTTGGGCCTGTTGCCACAGTTGTCTCTCCATCTGCATCCACGAGCACCTTCTAGATTTTGCTGACCACGCAGTTGCAATTTTGCCCTCTTTTGGCAAGTTTCCCTTGTTTTATAAACCTTATCGTGTGGTGACAATATGAGTGACGTGTGGGGTGACCTTTTTTTTCCTTAGTTTCACAGAACAAAATAAATAAATACCGGACTTTGTTATTCTTTGTCTTATATTTCTCCCTCTGGTTTCCAGGGTATGGAAATGTGTCTGGAAATATTTGTCACATTCACACATCTGCAGTAGCCAGAACCTTCTAAGACTAATAAATGACACATACTTTAAAAAAAAATGTGTGTCACTGAATCTCTGTGTATTATTGCCCGCATTTCCCTGCGTTTAAATTGACTGTAGAAGCATTACACAAGCTAAAATAATGAAAATATGATATTTTAATGAGCATTAAATGAACAAAAACATTTCCTGTTACACTTTAATAAATAAATAAAGCATGCGTTGTAAGCAGTTGTATATGTACTTGCATTTATTAAGATTTTTTAAGTGTTTGTTGCAATATCAAAGAAGTGAATTTCCAAATACTGGAAAATGTCTCTCGACGATTTTAGGGTTAGTTCAGGGGTTATTCGCAGTAAACTACTATATTTTTTTTAATTCTTTTTTTTCTGGCAGCACAGTGCAGGAATGTCGTTGAGTACACTGCTGAAATTTAGAAATTAAACTTTTTGTCGCAGATTTGATGCAGGAAGAATTTATTAGAAACTTCGTTTGCCTTAATTTCGATTATTAAAACCAGAAGAAAAACATTGGAGCTTTGGAAAAAAACAGCGTTCACAATCCCGACCTTAATCTTGATCATTAACGCCACATAAGAATGAGCAAAACTTAGCATGAAGTTTTTCTGCTGGTTACTAAATTGCTTACACCCCCGAATGAGTCCGATTTGTTCTGTAAAAGAGCGTCGGGCACATGGAAACACACAAACACATATTATTCAATAAATAAAGTCAAATAAATTTAGTTTGGCTCGTTTTTCCTCTCTTTTTCAAATTCTCAAAATGAGATTATTGTCCTGGGAGTTGTTGTTTACATTGCTTAATGGAGAAAGGAATAAATAGTAATTATATTTATTTGCTAATCTATGGAAGGAGGTGCCTCTGGGCTGCAGAGCTGCATCCTGTATAGGTCTATCATATGTTAATGAAGTTAATGGCGGAGCTTCAGTGACAGCTGGCTGCCGAAGACCAATCAGAGCGCTCGTAGATGGAAGCCAGTGTGAGTTTGAGGTTCTGCAGGCAGGAGGTGTTTGAAGAACCATGTGAGCTCTGTTCGTGATGTAAAGACGGATCCTTTCGCTTTTATTTGATTTTTTTTGACTCCCCAACAGTTATGAACATGCACCCCGCAACTTGTAACCACTGGGGGCTCTTTTCTCGCTGATGATCCGTTGGAGTTACGCGTGGATTTCTTCCAGGCTGTCCGACAGAACTCATGAAACCCTCTTCAGAGCGACGGTTTGTGGACTTGCGCATTAGCTAATGATGTCTGTGGGTTTTATCCCTGACAGTCTGAATGGCTCAGATCCCTCCAAGTCGGCCTTTCTAGAATTCGGACACGGACACTCGACGCACCAGCAGCACTCCTCCGGACTCTCTCACGTTTATCCGGTTCACGGCTTGCAAGCTGCTGGCCATTCCCAGCACGAAAGCCCTTTTCCTGGTACCGCGTCCTATGGCCGCTCTTTGGGCTACGCCTACCCCGGCACGGTGAACACTCATCCCCCGTCCGCTTACGTGCCCTACCAACACAGCAATCACAGCAACAGCAACAGTGTGACCCACAGCAGATTAGAGCACACAGGTACGTGAGAAAGTCACTGAACTGTTGTATATCATTAACGGCCATAAACTGATATGCCTTAAGTCTATTTGCGCACATGGCAAGGGAGAGGGGGGGAAAGCGCATTTAGATGTGTAGTGAGTTTATATATATATATATATATATATATTGTCATTGCAAAGATTTACCAAAAAAAATCATTTTAGTGGAGGTACGTTCACATTGGGGTATTTTTATTATTATTAATGCAGAAATAATAAAGGATTAAGTTTAAGTCTCGGTAGGGTGTTCTTTCTTTGCCTTGTTATATAAGAAAGATATGCAGTCGCATTAAATATTAATTATTATATTAATAATATTCTGTGAGTATGGTCTGGGCCTACCACAGGTACCCCTATTGTTAATGCACATTAACCCAGTGGTGTCGGAATAAAACCGTCCTTTCATCCTTGTGTGTGTGATCATTTGCTGCGTGTGTTGTTGGCATTAGGGCCTTCTGATCCAGAAAGCTTAGAAGTGTAAACATTGCCACGTGAAGCTCGCACTAAAATGTTCCGTCCAGATTAAGGTAGAATTTGGGAGCATTAGATTAATATCTGATGCGCAAATATAATTCGTTTCAGGCCCTGGCGTTTTGTCCAGGGCCCATCAGATGCAGTATCCGGGGACTACAATTTGTATGCATTAAGGCTGTAAAACCGAACTACTCCTCTGGTCTTCGTGTTGTTTGAAACTGTAGGTTTTGCTCAGAGACCACGTTCAAAGCTTGTCCAATGGGACTTTTACGCTTTGGTTTGACGGATATGATGAAAACTCATAAATCGGACGTCTTCTTCTGCTCAAACTCTGTGCTCTGTGTTTCATCTTCAAGACCACGACAAGTCCTCTGTGATTGAAGGCAGAGACATTCGTCTAAATGGAAAAGGGAAGAAAATTCGCAAGCCTCGGACCATCTACTCCAGTCTGCAGCTGCAGGCTCTGCACCAGCGCTTCCAGCAGACACAGTATCTGGCCTTACCGGAGCGCGCAGACCTTGCGGCAAAGCTGGGGCTCACACAAACTCAGGTAGGCCTTAAACGCTTCACTTTGCGAGGCTCTCTATCGTTTATGCACTATATTAACTAATAAACGGATTATTTCGGAGGATGTAGTGAAAGCTAGAAATAGTCAATATGTTATGGTTAAAATGACTCCCTTGCAACATTTCCACTCCTTGTATAGACTAATAATTTATATACAACAATTTTGAATCAGTGTGACTCATGGTAGACTGAATAAAATATATGTATTAGTGAAAGAGGATAGTGTTGGATATTATTGAAAAGAAATACTTGCAGCATTATCGAGGATCACAGCAATTTCATACCCCTATCCCTTAATGCATTCCTTATTTACTGGCTGTATCTCTTTTGTCATTTGCGGTCCTTGAAGTGTTTTTGTGATCAGTGGCTGCAGTAGGAACAAAATTACCAAAAGGAGGAAAAAATATCTGCAAAAGCAGTGGTTGGCAGATGTTTTTCAGTAGTTTATTATAGAGTATTAAACCAGCCCCTAACAATGGGATATGCTTGTATTTATTCGTTTTTACGTACTTTTTTACGGTGTAGTTGTAAGTCTTTCAGTACCTATAGGCCACACAAGCACACATGCACACGCACTATAATAATTACACGCGTTTCCAACACAAACAGGTGCACGTGTCAACTGACCCCCCTCGGATGGGACAAAAATGAGACCTTTGGATCACTTTTTTTGTTTCAGTTGAGTTCTAAAGTTAAACGATTAAGTCGTCAGAGTTTTAAAATAGAAGATAAACAATATTATGAAATCCACCCTGTCATCTCAGCCGCCTCCTGCACTTTATTCTTAATCCCTGAACACTTCTCCCGACAATTATCTCCCAGTTGTTCTGCCATTCGTGTGGTTGTTGGTGCTGTTGTTGTTGCCTAGATATCCAGCGGGCTCTTTGGTGCTTTCTTTTTTAAAAAAAAATGAATATTCACACCATTGTTCTCGGGTATAAAAATAGCCACCATGAACTGAACCCACAAACATTTTCGCTGACCTATTTGGAGCCGCTTTTATTTCACAATTCTTTCAGTCCCGGCTTGTTGCTGTCACACTCATGCATCACTAGACTTATAAAACAGCGAACAATAAAAGGGCTTAGCTTTAATGGGTAACAAGTGGCACTCATCTGCAAGGCTGAATAGCTAACTGTGCGCCAAGATTAGGCCTGGGACTTGCAAAAACAACCCCAAACGATGAGTTATTATGAGTTTTACTTTCTTTATTGCTCACAGTGTTCCCTTCGGGGTAGTTTATGATGAAAAGAGCACCGAGTTTAATGCGGGGGAAATATGCTAATAAAAAGAAAACGACAATGAGATTTCTTTTATATTGCTGCTGATTGTTAACTGCAGTGACAATTATGCCTATTTTTTCTTTTGTTCTCCTACTTTAGGTGAAAATATGGTTTCAAAATAAGCGCTCCAAGTACAAAAAGATCATGAAGCATGGCAGCGGATCAGAGGGAGAACATCTCCACGGCACCAGCTCCATCTCTCCCTGCTCGCCCGCATTGCCCCAGCTATGGGAGGTCTCTATGGCGAACAAAGGAGCCCCGGTCCATCCGAGCAGTTACATGAACACTTTCGGTCATTGGTATCCGAATCATCACCCTCATCATCAGGACGCGATGCACAGGCCTCAGATGATGTGAGTGGACAGTTTTTGGACACTTGAGTCCATCGGGCTGCACTGAACTTGCTGGTGCCTCCAGAGGCCTCCTCTCAGAACTGAGAGTTTAGGAGACCTTGTTTATATTCACTGTATTTTGTGTGTGTTTTGAATTTTAAAATTCTCACTACAAGAAATATTCAGGCATCAAAGAAAAAGAAAAAAAAAGGGGGGGGGGGGTTTTATACCTGCATGCTCTTGTTGCAGGGTCTGACATCAGTGAAACGTGGGTTTGTGTGTGCAGTTTAAAAGACATTCTGGATAAAAGGCCTTTTTTTCAAATATACTGTGTCCGTGCGTCTGCTTTATTAGCCAGCAGTTAACCAGCTGTCACTTTATTGTCACTAAATGTCTTTGCTTAGGTTTCTTTATCTTCCCCTCACTTTCAGGTAATTTCAAAAGAAAGATGGAATTGCCGGTTCCTTAAAGAAGCCTGGATTAATAACAACCGGTGCTATGAGACACTGACAAACGCAAGCTTAAACTCTTCAGAGCTTTCTGAGCACTGCACAGCTCGGCCTGTGATAATGCCGTGCGAGAATAAAAGCTGTCTTTTGTCCATCAACACTCCTGAACTGCGATTCACAAAAACCTGCGACCCTGCTTGAATTTCGACAGCCATTGTCAAAACACCTGGGGATTGATTTCTGTTAGACAAAAAGCAAATATCGGCCCTGGTATCTTTTTTCGGTTTCGTAGGCTGTTTTGGTTTTACCGTTTGGGTATGACTGGGCTCGATATAAATCGAAAGGAAGGCTGTTCCCTTACAGGAAAGCAGTTGTTTCCAGCTGAGACAAAAAAGAGAGGGTGGGATCCGAGTGGCCACCTTTACGCACCGTGGCTGAGTTTTAACGTAACATTTCTCCACAGGATAAAAACTCTAAGACACGTGTTGTTCAAATGCTTTTATCTGAAAGCCAGTATTACAGCTAAAAATACCTTTAATATTATTCAAAAATAACATTTCACTGCATTTTTATTGCTTGTTTTGGGTGTTTGTTATATAATATGTTTAGTCTAAAAACACACAGTTGTATGCGTTTAAAGACGTTGAAGAGGATATCCACCATCCATCTTTTTTCATCATCAAAGTGGAGAGCGGAGATGACGTGCAAGAAAGCATTTTTACAATGTTTCCCTTATTTTCCAGTGAGATCAAAAAGCAAACTCGCCCTTATCATAATCAGATGATAAATGGCTGCTCTGTCCCGACAATAAACCTCGCCTGATTTATAGTCTGTTGAAATGATTTGCTAATTCTAGTGCTTAGACTGTTTAAACACAGCGAATTAGCTATTTATACCTTTGCAAACAATCGGGGCTGATGCTCTTGATTAAATGGAGAGTTGATTTCTGCTTAATGAAGCTTAGAGAAACAGCCAGTGACTTCTTTTTGTCTTTTTCATTCATCACTCTGCTGCTTCAAACTGTCTGGCAAGCATTAGTTATCTTTTTTTCCTGATGTCACACTCAGGGTTTAAAAAAATAAAGTGAAGCCTTTTGGAAATATTTATCCTAAACTTGTGTTGCTATAAAGTACATTGCTGAAGATTCTGCATATTTTAGTTGTGTGGTGAAAGGATTTTCATGCCTCATGCTGGAGTAGAGAAGTTCCCAGAAAATGCATTCATAATAATCCAGACAGCCACCTTCCATAATTCTAAACAAAAGCTAAGTGAACTTCTAGCGGAGCACCTGGTAAAAACAAGCTTTAGTTGCAAAACAGCCTCTTTAGATACAAAAACATAAAATAACACCCATTTCTAGCTGCATGTCCACACCAAGTCACCAGAACACTCAGTCGCACAGCGTGCAATCAGCCCTGCCTTACCTAGTCAGAGAAGTGGCGCCTTGTTCAGGAGCTCTAAAGCCTTCTGTGGTGCTCCTGTGAAGAACAAAGCCACACCATAGCCCCGTGTTTTCGCTCCTCCGAGCTGATTTTCTCACATAACGACAAGCATTGTGTTACATTAACATCTCCTTCTTTATATATATATACACCCTCGTGCCCTTTTCCTCATTCCTGATGATTATGTGCCTTGTTAAACATGCGGACCCAGGGAAGAAGAGGCGAGCATTGCTGAAGCAAGTGACGGGGCATCAGGGAAAATTATAGGCAATTTCACATCTCCAGATTAGAATAATGGGCTTGTGGAGTTGGACAGAGAAGAGTAGGACCTTTCAAACGGGGGGGCAATTATCATGCAGGCGGATTGAAGAGAAAGTGAAAAGACTCCTGGTGTAATAGACAGGCTAAAGAGGAGGGGGGTGGAAGCTGGGGTGGTGGGTTGAAGGGTAATGATAAAGCCAAGTCTGACTGTATCAGTGATGTGGATGGTCTGGGTTATCAGATACGAACTGTCTGATGGGTTTTAATTGCAGGATAGCAATAAGAGGGAAAATAGCTTGTTATTAAATCCCACTTGCTTTGAATGGGTGAATGGCATAGCAGGTCTCTGGGGTGATTATTGTTATTAACTTGAGTGATCTGACATCTCGGGTAATTGTGAGCAGCTTCCCTGTTAGAGAGAGTGAATGCATGATTTGGTTTCGTCTGAAGGAAGGCCTGGCTTACTCTGTGGCATGATGCACACAGAGTCTGGAGGGATTACAAACACAATGCAGGCAGAAAGGTATGTACACTGACTCACACTTAGATTCAGTGAATTCAATTCGAGCATGCCTGGGTTATCATAAATGAAAGTGTGGGAAAATATAGTTTCCTTTTCTCCTTTTCAGCATTTGACAGTCTTTAAATCCGGAGTTTTAATTTATAGGCCAAGGTAAGATGCACAAAGGTCTCCTCGTGGCTTCATCGGGTTGTGACGACTGGCTGTGAAGCATCAACACACAGCCCGGCCCAGCCATGGCCTGAGGTCAGGCAGGGTTCACAAGTCCACAGCTGTCAAGAATGCCTTTCTCCCATCATTTCGTCCAAGTTTGCAGCAAAATGGAGAGCATGAGTGATCCTAATGCAGCCAAGGCCCAGCCCATGCAGGGACTCAGTGCAGGACAGCTGCTGAGAGTCTTTCCATGGATACATTTGAGTTGCCGACCTCCGCATCAACCCGTTTTGCTGCACCCTGGGGACAAGTGCTGACACCACACTGTTGATTGTTGCAGTGGGAAAAAGGAGAAGAAGGGTTACAGGGGCCTGAGCAACAGCTCTATTTAGGGTGCTGTGATGTCGTGCCATGCAGGATCACATTCAAGTTCAACAGTTCACCTCCACCTCCGTGGCTACTTACACTTGTTGATGTTTAGGCATGACATACATCGACATGTCCTACAGCCCACACACACAAGTGCACAAATGTTTCCCCTGACAGCTACGGCCGAGGCCCACACACGCTGAGGGAGCCGCTGAAGGGAGGTCACATGTGTTCTTGATGAGATTTCATTGATATTAAAAGGCAATAGTAATCATATTGCTTTTGTCAAATCAGCACAGGGCACCGACATGATGACTGAAGCCATAGGCAACTGGTGTTGGGTTCAGAGAAATAAGCCAAGAAGACATTAGGGAAACAGAACTGGGAGCTGTGATACATTTCACTGTTTACAGCAGAATTATGAGAGAATGTGTGTGAAGTCTGGCAGAAACTTTGAGGATAAACGTAATCTCTAAACACACTACAAAGGGTGTGGAAAAACACTTGGTTTTTATTACAGCTTAATGACAATAACGTGGGAAATATATCCAATATTTTAAAGTATAAACTCTTTTTCTACAGCCCAATACTTATTATTATAGCTGCCATTATATTTCTTAATATCCCTCAGATTTGCATTATGTGAGTCAATATAGCTGTGTATTTTTTTTTATTCTTTTTTAATTAAAACTTAAATGTAAAATAATTAAACAATTTGAAAACATAGTTTATATCTAACAACAACAACAACAACAATATAATAATAATAATTATTATTATTATTATTGTTTTATCCCTACAAGTTTTTCTGATTACTGATTTATAATAATATTAATAATAATAATGATTATTATTATTTTAGTTTAAAGCTCTTTTCTTATTGTAATTTGCGTTAATGTACTCTTTTCCAATATTGCACTTTGAGGTTTACGTTTGGCTAATATAGCTAAATTATCCAAGGTTTAATTTCCTAACATAAAACTATTTATTAATTAGAAACGAGAATTATTTTTTTAAAGCTGATATCAGTATTAAGCCTTATTGAAATATTTTTTTTATTCCTGTCTCAGGTAAATTGAGAAATCAGCGAAATTATTTAGGGAAACCCGACATCATGTTGCAGTGAAGTTTCATATATTAACAGCTCCACTCATGGGGGCATACCATTCTTGTTACTAGAAGCAGTATAAAAGGTTATAAACCTCTCACACCCTTAGCCCCTGCCCCACCCTACGTTTTCGCTCAGTGCGTAATGGCGCTTTGGTGGTCCATGTGGATAAGCTCGCCATTAGCGGCTCTCCATCATGTCAGTTTTGGGCTGCATATTTAATAACGCAAGGTTTATGTGGCCAAACCGAGGTTATTGTCCACTGTCATTATTTATTAGCTGACGCAAGGGTCGAGGCTGGGGAAGGGGGTGGTGTGTAGCGGGGAAAGCTGTTTTTTTCTTCTTCTTCTTCTTCTTTTCCTGTGACAGCCTTATTGTAGCTGTCACAACAGTCGCTGTCGTGTTTATGAAGCGCCTCTCAGGTGATTCATATAGGTGTTTTCCCCCAGCTTTTGTGAGCGCACACACAGCCGAGCCTGTTTTATGTTATCACCTGGGAAAGCCCTTTTGTGAGATTTAAAAAAAAGTGTCTTTTATATCACTGTGTGAATGACGGTAGTGAAGGCGAGGAAAACTAGTCTGCCAACGCAAAGGGAATGAATAAACCTTTAAACGGGTGCGCGCTCTCCCCCACACACACAAACGTGCTTGTGTTTTGTCGTACCTTCGATATTTGGCACTGTTTTCTTCCATTCTTATGCGCGTTCATACGTGCGTGGGAGATTCCCCTCGGAACAGTCTTGCTTCACCTAACCACCCCGCTCCCTCCCCCACTAACACACATACACACTGAACTCTTTCTTGTTATCTGGCAGCAGAATCGTAATAAAACTGAGTGACTCCAATGTGTCTACACGTCAGCGCGCCACTAAATCCCAAGAAAGCCGCACTGTACCTGCGCCTGTAACAGCAGACGCCTCTCGGCACAGATGTTGGCACTGGCCAGTTTAGAAGTTGAAATAAAGTTACGTAAAATATATATAGTAAATATATTAAATATACATTTAAAGCATAGGCCACCGCTTGCATATTTGTTGTTTTTTTACAAATGTCCGTATAAGCTGTAATTATAATGTCTGCTTCCAGTGCAAATAAATCTTCCACAGTTCAATCCAGTTCAAACTGGTTTGAAAATGCGTCGCAGTTTAAGGTGACATAGACTGAAAACACTGAGATGTGTGCACGGTTTTCCAGTGCGTCTCTCGACAGGCTCTTTATGAAAGGGGCTTCACACACCACGTACAATTAACACCTTTATTCAATTGACAGGAAGGCAACAAGTGGACTAATTACATGAATATAAAA